TAAAGGGAAACTGGTACTTGTGGCTGATTGTCATAGAACTTGTCAATGATCAAATGCAATTCATATATAACAGATGAAAAATTAATTACTTTCCCAATCAGGGATTTTGTTCATATTATATGGTCAAAACTCAACTTATCCTGTTATGCAGAACGATATTTTCAGCACCTAAACTAAGTTTGCATTGGAAAATGAGAAAAACAAAACCCGAATCCCCAAAATCTCATATAACACGGATCAAGGAAGCATTTTCTCTGGCCGCAGCTGCTCAATTTTGATCTGGGTACACAGTAAGAGAAACTCCATAAACTTGGCATCCTTTTCATCAATTGCTTAGAGGGGTTTTGGATACTTTATCTTGATAGGGGCTCAACTGAAGCATTGCCTTGACGGATATTAGACAGTGCTGACGTCCACACGGCTTCTATGAAGCTGGAAGGCAGCAGTGATCCAACTCCCGCAACTGCATTGGCTGCCTGACCAATTGAAGTAACCCAAGCGAGCTTCACAATGTGCACATGACAACTTGCCCTTGCCCTCCAGTGCTCCTTCAACTGTGTAATGAGAAAACATATGAAAGATCAAATTATATCATGTTTCCATGATAAATCACATTGAACGAAAGATGCTTCAAATGAAATAACTTCTACTTCATTTAAGTTAAGGTATAAGGAAACCAAAATCAGCTGAAGAAAAATAAAGGAAAATATCAAGAAAAGCAGTATAGGTCCAAAAATAGGAATGTGAAAAGGATGTGGATTCTGTCTGAGTGTCAAAGTCTATATTCGATACTTTTTTCAATGTTTAAAATACCATCATTTGTCAACACACTGGATTAACTGGTCAACAAGAAAAACCAATTCGCAGTTGACATGTAATCTCAAGTGACAATTTGATCATATAATATCCCAGTTAAACTGTAGAGCATTTATATTATAACAATCAAATCAAATAACCCAAGGAAGCTCTTTTGACAAGAGAGCTCTGTTGCATGATTAACTATTACTGCAATGGAAAAGCTAAGCCATACAGTTATAAATACGACACAGTTACCTGCTGTCATCCACCTTCGAGGCTCAACAAAAATGGATGAACATTCAGAATCCTCAGACAAGTTGCTACTTTTTCGCTTTCGCCACTCAAACGATTTCTCACCCTCGCCTGGAATGTGATCCACAACATTGTCCTGCAATGCAACAATTCTTCGGCATTTCTTGCAGCGGAATGCTGGTGTACCAGTTTTTCCTCCATTTTGAGCTGTTTTTACTCCAGAGGCAACTTCACCAGGCAACCCAGGATCTGCCCCAAATTTAGAACTGTCTATTTTATCCCCATGATGATAAGATTCACCTGAAAGGATGGATAAAATGTTTCTATTATAGCAGCGAAAACAGAAATTCACATTTGCCACTCAATTTGAAACCTCCAGTGAAAATGAGTAGGCATAACTTATAATGTCTCCTATGCTGAGACAAACAATTTTTCACATAGTAATTAACATCAAGAACATTTGCCATGCAGTTGCCACGCCCGTCACAGTTGTCACTGCTGTTCTGGTTAGCATTTCTTTTTCTTTTTCTTTTTCTCTTCTGCTAAAATGTTATGTAAGGTAGAGGAGAATGGCAAACAATTTAAAAAACAGATTGGGAAGTATAGTTCATGGATACCGTAGCAGCATTGTAGCCATTTATTGTGTTGGTTTCCCTAAGCTAATTTGACAAGTGAGATTATTTTTATTCTGAATGCTACAATTTAACTCTATACGGTTTTCTTGAGATTCTATCATGTATAAATAGAGTGAACTAAATTGAGACAATCTTGTTTCTGGAATTCTAAACCTTTGGCATTTTTGAGTTCCTTTCAGAACCTTGGAAGCTTTGCAATTTCTCATAATCCAGCAGTGTCTCCATGCTCAATTCAAACCCTCTCACTTCTCAAAATAACATTCTTTGAGCAATAACCCCACCAAAAGCTGGACCAACTATCTCACATCCTACTTCAATGATATACAACCAATTTGGTAAGCAATGGCTCCTTAATACCTTCCTATCAATGAATTTTTCATATAGTCCTAGGCACACCAACTCATATACAAACTGATGTGGTAGTATTTCAGTTGTTTAAATTTGAGCCTCATTTATTTACAAACAGTAAGAGACTACCATATTATGTGCCTCATCAGTTGGTATTAAAAAGCTGGGATAAGAGTTGGTGCCTCGAATATCATGAGACTCAAGAAAAGCCTACGTACAACAATTTCTAGTCAGTCAACGGCGCAAGAATTATAGCCTAGTCTCTATGTCCCATGGAGTACTTTCATCATCTTGTATATTACCGAAACTTGAAAAACTAAAATATGAAAGCATGAATTCAAGATGTTCAATGAAAAACAATAAATTAAGAGGGAGGGGAAGATGGAGAAGAAAAAATAAAACTGTACCCAATACTTTCAGGCGAAAAGACTTGTATATGTGGCTGGCATGATCAACCTTGAAGCCCATTTCCTCGTACATTTTGAGCTGCAACACGATAAAAGAAAAGAGTAAAATTCACTATGGGCTGGCTTAGCAGAAAGTAGTCTAACCTTGTACAAGATGTTACATAAGAGTTCCTTGAATCACCTGATCTAGAAAACCATCATTGGGGCAAACAAACTCACAGCTTTGCCTCAGGGATCCTAGTGCATCTGTAGGATTGCATAAGAGGAAGAGAAAGACTAAAGCAGTTAAGCATTTGTAACCCACTCTGCCTTTTCTTCAATTCTATTGCTCAGGAATTCATATATTTCAAAGGGTGATGATTTTGGCACTCCAACTACCACCTTCTACACTCCTCTACTCTCTCACACAAGAGGACCACATGATTTTGGCACTCTTCTTGTGTGAGAGAGTAAATGAGTGTGGAGTGTCAAAATCATCTTCCATTTCTAAAGTCATACAAGCTTGTGAAACTAATTTTTATCTGAACTGAAGAAACAAAAGCAGCTATTTGGATTCCAAAAATATAACAGCAACATGTAGTTATATACGAAGACTGGCGATACTTAAAACAAGCAATGATTTGTTCACACCTTCTTGTGATAAATGCTCTGTTCTCATCAGATATGCTGTAATGATAGATGCACTGCCACAAACAAATGCAAACAAGGGTGTAAACACTTTAAACTTGACAATTCAGAAAACTGAAAAAGCTATCAGAATGTAAGCCTGTTCCGAATAATTTCGACATTATTAGTATACTCTTGTTATTCTAAAAACTAAAAATCATAAACTGAGAAAGCAATATGTACCTTCTGGAAACACCAGCAAGGCAATGCACCAAAACAGAACCCTTTTTTCTACCCTTATCAATAAAATCCACACACGCATCCAAATAATCCAATAAATTCTCATCGCCCGTATCTCTTAGCGGAACCCCCATCCTCTCCAGCTTCAAATCCTTGCCTGCACGAAAGCTTATCGACCCATCACCAACATAAGCTGACCCACCAACAGACCCGCCATCATAGACCTTGATTTCCTTTGTGGGAATTGCACAGAGAATATGTGTGATCTCTTTGCTGCCATTTCGGATAACCTCTGCCGCATCGCGGATGTTGCCGAGGAATAGATTCTCACGAACAAGATACGGCATGATCACTGAAAAATATTTGAATTTTTCCTAAACCCAAGATTATCAAAGCAAGAAAAGTCGAACAATATGAGGCAATTTACAGAGATTACAAGAGTGTTTTATAAGTCAGTCTTGCTTGACAAGAAATCCTATTTATACCTTGAATAAAAAAGGGCAGTATTTACACCGTCAATAAAAGGGAAACAAGATAATAAAACACCTAATTTAACAAGAAGAAATCTTTGTTCTTTACCTGTATTTAGGTCATCGTGTGAGAGTGAGAGAGAGAGAGAGAGAGAGAGAGAGAGAGAGAGAGGACGGGTTTTGGGTCTTAAGTTTTTCTTTTTAAATTTTTTTATCTGATGAAAGTATTTTATTCTGAAAACGAAAAAAATTATCCTGATAGGCGTGAGAGGACGGGCTTTGCGTTGGTTTCTTATTGATGTTTTAAAATACTTTTCAATATTTCAAAATAAATTTTTTTTTCTTCTCAAAATTGAAAAAAAATTATGGGAGATTCACTATTATACCCAATATAAAGGCCCAAATTAAAAAAAATTATATATGAAATGGACTTGAGAAATACACCCAAACCCATTTACAACATAACAAAGAAGATTTTTTTGGATAAAATGTTGGGGGGTAGGGGGGGAACAAACTCCAAAAAAACAGAATACCTAACCAATACAAATTAAACGACAAGGGTGACCCCCAAAAAATAATCAGCTATCTCCAAAAAAACAAAACGCCTAACCAATATCCAAGTCTAGATTATGGCTCCATTTGGCAAGGCAATTTGCCAAACCATTCTTCTCTCTTAAAATATGCTGGATATTCCAACTCTCAAAATGCCTAAGCATCTTGTTTATACCAAAATGAACAGCCAATGAATATCGGACACGTGGACTAAACCAGGGCCATGGGTGCCTTCGGCACCCACCTTCGGTACCAACCCTACCGATCGCAACACTAGGGCAACTTCACCCCCTTCGACACGTGGCAGTCCCACAACTGATGTCCACAGTCCCACATCGAAACTCTAAACAAATTGCACACCTCCCAAGGCCTATAAAAGAGGACAACCATCCCAGCTTGGAGGTAATCAATCAGAACTTACGGCATACTGCCTATTGATCTGTAGTTCAAACTTATTAAACCCGTACTTACTTAAGCATCGGAGAGCCTTCGGCCGGTACCACACCGGTGCCCTAGGACTTACCGTGTGTTTGCTATCTTGCAGATTGGACACACTGCCGAGGACATCAGATACCGAAGGAAACATAATCACTAAGTTGCGCGGGAAAGTGCCGAACCATTTTTCTGCGTCAACAGTTTGGCGCCGTCTGTGGGAAACGATAACAATCAACCTACAATTCCTAAAAAAACATATGGGGACCACTTCAGGACCACAATTCCTATCGGAGGATGGATTACCGTACGGTATGCTAAGTGGAGCAAGCCCCGTGCTGCACCCTAGCACCCCATTCGGTAATCCTCCAGTGCTTCAGACCACGGTCGAAGCGGAGCTTCTAGCTCAGATGACCTCCTTTCGGAGAGAGATGGCTAAACTCCAAGAACATAACAATCTCCTCTCGTCCAAGGTGGACGAAACCTAGCGGTTGCTTAACCAGTAGGAAACACAAAGCATTCAGGCTACCGAGTCTTCCTAGAGTCAGCAGACCCCCGGTCGGCAGAAGAAGGGAAAGCGGGGGCCAAAGGCAACGCCTGCGCCTTCCAAACAGTTGGTGGTCCCGGCCCCACAGGATCAACCTCACGTGCCAAAGAAGGTGTACACCGATTGTCGTCATCGGATCAACGACAAGAAGGATGCCGAACGGCATAGGTCCCCAATGAGGGTTAACGCCCGCCTGTGGGACTCCCGGATGAAGGTTCTGGGAGATAAATCGCCCCTTCGGAAGGTCCAGGGTTTGGATTCGGCGCTGGAGTCTGACGATGAGTACGTCCCCAAAAAGGGCACCGAATCAAACTACCGTTCGGAAACTGCCCCGGAGTATTCGAAGGCAACACCACCAAGTCCGAGGAGAACTTCCTTCAGTTCCGAGGATGTCCCAAGCCGAGACCCCGCTATCCGCCTGCTCTTCCAAAGAATCTAGAAGATGGAGGACGACCGAACCCGGTCCCAGGTCCCTGACTGGGGAAAACTTCGGCCAGGACCATTTACCGAGCGCATCAAGAAGTCCAGACCGGACAGGGAGGTGCAGCCGTTGCGTATACCATTTTATACCGGCGTGGAGGACCCTTTGACGCACCTTCACTCCTTCCAATCGGCAGTTGGATGCAAGGGCCTCAGCGACGAGGGGCAATGTCTGCTGTTTCCATCGTCCCTTACCGAAGCCGCTCTGAACTGGTTCTACTGTCTTGAGCCGGAGACGGTAGACTCCTTTGACGAATTGAAACAGATTTTCCTCAATCACTTCATGATCCAGACAGACCGCTTGTACTCTGTCGATGATCTGTACACGATTCGGCAGAGAGAGGACGAACCCCTACGGGAGTACGCAGCGCGCTTTAGTCACGAGTACTCGAGGTGTCCAGAAACGGACGACAGGGTAGCCTTCGGCGCCTTCAAGAGTGGCCTTCAGTCCTCTCACTTCCGGTACCTCGTGCACAGTAGCAACTGCCGCACATACGACGAATTGATGAAGTAGGCCGCAGTTCATGCGAAAGCCGAATACTTCAACTCCAAACCCGGGCCTTCGGCTCGGAAGGAGGAGTCAACGACCAAGAGCTATCCGGGGCGAACTGACGATTCTTCGGCAGGACACAAACGGAAGGACGACCGTGATAGTCATCAGGGAAACTCGAAAAAGGGTCGTGGGAAATACGGTCGTAACGACCACCGTGCGCCGCTACCGAATCACGATCGTGCCCAGGAAGTCTTCACCCTGCTGAACACAAGATACGAGACCGTTCTGATGAATGAACATGACCAGATCCCGAAGCCAACCAACTGAAAGCCCAATCGGCAGGACAATCGGGACACTGGCAAATTCTGTCAATACCACCAGCAGAACAGCCACAACACCGAAGACTGCATCAGTCTGAGGAAGATCGTTGAGCGTTTGATTCGGGAGGGAAAGTTGGATCAGTACCTCGCTAGGCCACCACAGGCACTAGCACTGAACGCGAATCGGCAGATCAACATGATCAGCACGATCAGCGGTGGCCCCACTTTGGCGGGACCCTCTAACCGTTCAATGAAGCAGTATATGCGTGCCGCCCACTGCCCTCAGGTCTTCGGCATAAAAGACGATCGGTGCCGAAAGGTGCCGAAGGTGGGATGGGAGCCCATCACATTCCGTGAAGAAGAAGAGGAGGAGATCATTTACCCCCATGATGACCCAATTGGGCCGAGATCGCCGACTATGATGTAGGTCGGGTGCTGATCGACACCGGGGGTTCGGTGAACGTAATTTTTGCCGATGCGTTCAAGGGACTGGGGATTGCCGACAACATGGTCAATCGGCAAATCATGCCTCTCCTCAGTTTTTCTGGGGATCTGGTCCAGCTAGTCGGCAGTATCAGTCTGCCCATCGCCTTCGGCGTCGCCCCCAGGAAAACAATGACCTACGACCAATTCCTCATTGTCGATTGCCCAACGGCATACAACGTCATCGTAAGGCGAACGACACTCACCAGGGTCAAAGCCCACTTATCCCCCCACATGTTGCTGATAAAGTTCCCAACACGCAACGGTATCGGCGTCATCCGGGGCGACCAGCTCAGCGCACAGACGTGCTATGCCACGGCTCTTAAGTCGGTAGCTAGCAAACCGCCAATGGAAGCCATGACCGTGCAGGGACTACCGAACGGTAGCGGGCCCATTGATGACCCCAGGGAGGAAACCCCAACGCCGGTGGCGCAGCCTGCCGAAGAGCTCGAAATCGTGGTCCTAAATGAAGATTTCCCCGATCGGTGGGTGAAGATCGGCACCAACCTAGATCCCGACCTCCGAAGACAGTTCATCGACTTCTTACGGCAGCAGGCGGAGGTCTTCGCCTGGTCTTATGACGATATGCCCGGCATATCACCTGACGTCATCAGCCACAAGCTCAGCATCTCCATCGCCCACAAACCGGTCAGACAGAAGCGCTGCTCATACGATGCCGAACGGTACGAGGCAATGCGTGCCGAAGTTGACAAGCTCAAAGCCATCGGCTTTATCAGGGAAGCTACGTACCCTGTCTGGCTTGCCAACTCAGTCATGGTTCGGAAGGCCAGGGGAGGATGGCGGATGTGTCAGGACTATACCGACCTGAATAAGGCTTGTCCGAAGGACAGTTTCCCCTTGCCGAGAATCTACCAGCTCGTCGACGCTACCGCTGGACACGAGCTGCTCAGCTTCATGGATGCGTATTCAGGATACAACCAAATCTTTATGGACCCTGCCGATATAGAGCATACGGCATTCATCACCGATCGCGGTTTGTACTATTACAACGTCATGCCCTTCGGCCTCAAAAACGCGGGAGCAACTTATCAACGGCTCGTCAACCGGATTTTTGCTAAGCACATCGGCGGCATTATGGAGGTATATGTCGACGACATGTTGGTGAAAAGCCGAACGGCAGGGGGGCATCTGGAAAACCTAGCCCTCATGTTCGGTATACTGAAGGACTACCGAATGAGGCTGAACCCAACGAAGTGCGCCTTCGGTGTATCTTCCGGTAAGTTTCTCTGATTTATGATCAGCCGAAGGGGTATCGAGGCTAATCCCAAGAAAATCAAAGCCATAATCGACATGGAGACGCCAAAGATGCAGAAGGACATTCAGAGCCTTACCGGACGTGTCGCTGCCCTGACACGCTTCATCTCCAAGTCTACCGACAAGTGCGTGCCGTTCTTCAAAGCTTTGAAAGGGGGCAAACATCATATCCCATGGACTCCCGAATGCGACCAAGCATTTCAAAACTTGAAGAACTACATGAGCCAGGCGCCGCTATTATCAAAACCGCTCCAAGGAGAAGTACTACTCCTATACCTTTCGGTATCCAACACTGCCGTTAGCTCAGTGTTGATACGGAAGCCAGAGAAAGCAGAGCTACCGATTTTCTATGTCAGCAAGGCACTCCAAAGCGCAGAGCTTCGGTACCCACCCTTAGAGCAGCTAGCACTGGCCCTGGTCATCTCGGCGCGAAGGCTTCGCCCATACTTCCAGGCGCACGAGATCACTGTTCTGACAAACCAGCCCCTTCGGCAGGTACTCCAAAAGCCAGAAACGTCGGGCTGATTGGTCAAATGGGCAATCGAGTTGGGAGAATTTGACATACAGTTCAAGCCAAGGCATGCAGAAAAAGGTCAGGCTGTCGCCGACTTCACACCTGCACTATCGGAATCACCTTTTCCGAGCGCTATCCTTACTGCACCAGAGAGAATGGATGCCGAGCGCTTCGACACTTCCGTTCCTCTCTGGATTCTGCACGTGGACGGTTCGGCAAACCAGCAAGGCTGTGGTGCCGGCTTGGTGTTAACCACTCCGGACGGTAGCAAAGTCGAGTATGCCCTCCGATTCAACTTCCGGACGTCCAATAACGAGGCAGAGTATGAGGCTCTCTTGGCCAGCCTTCGGCTAGCCAAAAGCATGAGCGCGAGGTAGATCAGCATTCACAGTGACTCCCAACTCATAGTGAATCAAATAACGGCAGACTTCGCAGCGAAGGATGCCTCTATGTCAGCCTACCTATCGGCAGCTCACCAACTACTGGAAAAATTTCAGGCCTACGAGATACGGCAGATCCCCAGGTCAGAAAACAGCCACGCCGATGCGCTCTCACGTTTAGCTTCGGCAATAAATGACAAGATCGGAAGGAAGGTACTGGTGGAGATATTATCCCAACCAAGCACGACAGCTGCTGAGGTGTGTACCGTTCGGTACGAGGACACATGGATGTCTCTGATCTATGCCTTCCTGACAACTGGAACCCTTCCTACCGATAAGTCCCAGGCTCGGAAACTCCGTTACCGATCCGCAAGATACACAGTCATCAACGATGTTCTATACAAGCGAGGCTACACGACGCCGTATCTAAAATGCCTTACCAAGGAGCAGGGGGACTACATCCTTCGGGAGGTCCACAGCGGAGTCTGCAGTGACCATTCCGGATCCCGATCGCTCGCACACAAAGTCTTCCGACAAGGATATTTCTGGCCGACTCTGCACCAAGATGCGAACATGTTAGTCAAGAAGTGTGACAAATGCCAGCGGTTCGGTAGCATCCCTCATGTTCCTTCCGAGCCGCTCTCACCGATTGTGAGCCCGTGGCTATTCGCCCAATGGGGGTTAGATCTAATTGGTCCGATGCCAGAGGGCAAGGGTCAGGTCAAATATGCTGTGGTTGTCGTGGACTGCTTCACCAAATGGGTAGAAGCCAAAGCCTTAGCGACAATAACGGCAGCCAGAATAGAAGATTTCGTCTGGACGAACATTTGTTGTCGATTCGGCATTCCCTACGCCATCGTCACGGATAACGGCAGGCAGTTTGATTCGGAGTTCTTCAGAGAGTTCTGCATCCGACTTAAGATCAACCTGTTCTTTGCTTCGCCAGCTCACCCCCAATCGAACGGCCAAGTCGAAGCAATGAATAAAATTGTCAAGAAGCTATTGAAACGGTAGCTTGACAAAGCCAAAGGAGCCTAGCCGGAGAAGCTTCCAGAGGCATTATGGGCCATTCGGACATCCTACCGAACGACAACTGGGGACACCGTTCTCCATGGCTTTCGGCTCGGAAGCGGTAGTCCCAATAGAAATCGGAGAGCCTTCCTACCGAATGGAAGCTTTCAGACCGAAAGTGAATGAGGAGGCGCTCGCCTTGAGCCTCGACTTGCTTGAAGAACGCCGAGCACAAGCCAACCTTCGGAACGAAGCTTACAAGCAACGCGTCTCTCGGTACTATGACTCCAGGGTCAGATCCCGCTCTTTCCGAATTGGAGACTGGGTCATGCGAAAAGTCTCTTTGGCAACCAAGAACCCTACAGAAGGAACCCTCGGACCTTCCTGGGAAGGACCCTACGAAATCATCGGTATTCAGCAATCGGGGACTTATCGACTCAGAGACTCCAACGGAAAGGCCCTCGGTCATCCTTGGAATGTAGAGCATTTGAAATATTATTTTAAATGAAGTCACCTAGCCTACAACAGGGTTACAATAGAGTCCCGAATGTCCTCGGCACTTTTATAGTCACAGCCTTCGGCAGTATAGCGTCCCCTAGCCTATGGCAGGTAAAATGCACTCCAGATGTATCTTTGCCTTCGGCAATTTATCAATGAAAAGGCCCTCAGCTCGTATATTCAAAACCTTCGGCACTTAAAAGCCGTTACTTAGCCTTCGGCAAGTACTTCTGTTGTTCTCAAAGCACCTTACTAGTTGAAATTTTGCTTGAAAGACAACTTTATTGGCCAACGGCCAGTGATCTTTTTACATAGCCCTCGGCATATAAAAAGAAATTTTCCTAAGTGTCTTACCGATTCAAAAATAAGATGCAATCAAGTTTGAAATTAAAGACTCATCGATTAAAAGATGCCCACGGCATCGAGATACAATGAAAATATGCCCACGGCATCAAAGGTTCAATTAGAAGATGCTCACGACATCAAGGTACATACACAAAAGTACAAAAAAAATAAAAAAAAAAAAAAAAAAAAAAAAAAAAAAAAAAAAAGAAAAAAGTTACATAAGGTAAAAGCAGGAAATGAAGAAGAAGCTTTTGAGAGAAGATTGGAGAAACCCTGCCGTTCGAAATAGGACTATACCTTTGAGTATCATTGCAGAGCGTACAAAACTTTCTGTCGAGGATGGAGGGCTTTCAAGTAGCCTCCTCGGCATCCGCCTCTTCGGCACCAGTGGCGGTAGGTTCTCCCGGAGCGTCCTCCCTTTCATACTCGTCTATCATTTCTTCTGTGACGCCTTCGGGAAGGGGAGGAGGATCGGCAATGAAATTCAAATTCAGCTTCGTCCCAGGATTGTACCGCTTGAAACGGTAGATCAGATCCACCATCTCCGAGCCCACCTCCTTGTCGAGCAAGGTGGAGAAATCAGAAGAGTAGCGGTACTTCCGGACAGCCTCCTGGACAGCAGCCTCGATCTCCGAAGCCTTGGCCCGCTCCGACTCCTCCAAAGCCACCTCGACGGCTTCCTTCGCCTCCAGAGCCTCTCTTGCCGATAGGCATGCTGACTCCAGGGTTGCCGACAGATCGGCGAACTTAGACTCATAAACCCTGACCTGCCGTTCGGCAGCCTGCAAATCCTTCGCCAGGTTCGCGTGATCCTGGATAGCCTTGCCAGCCTCGGCAACCCTGGTCCTACCGTCCTCGTAGGCCTTCTTCGCCTTCTCGGCAGCATTGATGGCTCGCTTTACGCAAAGCCACATGTCCATCGAAGCCTGGGGAACAAAGGGAATGTCAGGTGAAATATAAAGAAAGCAATCGGTAAGCTGAATCGGGAATATTTGGGACTTACCGAAGATTGAAGGCGGAAAGCGCAACCCGCCTCCTCCAGAAGGAGCTTCTTCGGCAGCTCTTCGATCTCGTTAAGCTCCATTTGCGAACCAAGGATCATGTGGTTCGCAAACTAAACCGTCTTCGACGGACAGGCCAAGGTGACGGGGTTGGCAGGCTCCTCGTCGTTATCAGCGGCAAAGATGGCCCGAGGAGGCTCGGCCTGCCGTTCGCGCTTCGGGGCAGGCTCGGCATCCAGGTCGACTGTTACCGGACGCTTGCCCGCAGCTCGGGAGGAAGTTCGGGAGGCTCGGCCGGGAGAGCGACTGACCGCTGCTGCCCCGGCCTACGCCAAGTCAGCGTTGAGCTGGCGGAGACGGTCAGCCAGAGTTTGGTCTTCGGGGTCGGCCTTTACCGAGGGCGCCGGTGTCGAGCCCTGCTGCTGGCTTTTCTTCTTCTTCCCCTGGAAGCCCATCATGAGACGGCGCTTGGAGGACTCGTTCATCCTCTTAGCCTCGACAACTCTCCTCTCTTCCGTCACTGCGTAAAGAGGGATTGGTAAGACTTACTACGGGGAAAAACAACTTATAAATGGCAAAGTACACTTACTCTCGGCAGGATTGACCCGCTGGGCCTGGATCAGGTTGGCGGTGAAGAGGAATTGCGAATACACCCTCTTCTCAGTAGGGACCTTGCTCCTCACCCTCTCCACTTGCTGGATCTCGGCTTGCGTTGCGATCGGCTGCTTTAATTTACCTACAAGGGGAACAAACAGGAAAAGATCACTTACAGTAAACACGGAACCCAAAGAAGGTACCGAACGGCACGTTACCCTACCGGCTATTTGGAATGTTGTGGGAATGCGAAATCAGACAGGCTGTCCCGAAGGCGACTCCTAATCACCCGAAAGGAGCACCCGCCGATTCCTCCATGACTTCTGAGAAGTCGGTACCCAGCTGACAAAGTGGCCACACTCGGTAGCCTTGAGACAGTTTGCCTGCACCCATCCGCCGTGATCGGCACACTGGGACTTGGTAATACTGTACAGGTGCGAGAACTGCTCGTAGGATGGACACCCCTCACCGGCCATGCCGAAGGCCGTTATCACTCCCATGAGGGCCACCCAGAAGTTCGGGTTAAATTGCCCCGGAGCGTAGCCGATCTGGGCCAGGATCCTCTGTACTGCCGGCTGCAACGGCAACCGAACGCCTTGCACAAGGACGTCGGTAAAGAAAACTACCTCGCCGTCCTTCGGCTTGCTGAGGGATTCGGTAGGGCCCGGGATCCTCATCCGAACCGAATCGGGAATGCGGTATTCCGCTCGATATTTGGCAATCTCCCGCTCGGTAATCCTGTTCGGCCCGAGATAGTCGACACCGAACAAATTTTCCTTCGGCATAGGTACCCTAGGATTGCTGGGGTACACTACCGATACCCTCGGCCCAGAGAATGGTTCGGCGGCTGACTCTCCACGGCCGGAAGTGGAGGTCTCTGATTGGTGACTACCGCTCGCCTCCCCAGGCATACCGAGGCCCACGTGGCGGCCGTCACTATAGACAATGGACAACGGCACAGGAGCAGTCATTAGCCCCTTCCCTATGCCGTGTGTTGGAATGGAGCTGGGCCCTTCACCGAGTATCTCAACATCGGTATCACTCCCACCCTCGGCATCAGGCCTCGCCGCTTCGCCGTCGGAGTCAAAGAGACCTTCCGATGACTCCTCATCGAACGCATTGGGCTCGCGCTCGGAGAATGACTCGCTATCAGACATCTACAAAAACAGGGAAAAAGGAAACTAAGGCTCATGCCGGATACTATCCTACCGATCCCTACATCACTACCTATGGCGACTAGACTACCGAATGGAACCCTATGGTCAGTCTAGTTCAAACCAAGGAAGGACGTAACTCTTAAGGCATGCAAGAGAGTAAAGTGGAAAGTGCCGAACGGTACCTTAGTTTGCACTCTGAAAAGTAAACACGAACTGCGTTTCAGATCGCCATTCCTACCGTTTGCAGTGCCGGAAATCGCCCTTCCCACCGTTAGCAACGCCGGAAATCGCCTGGTTACCGTTAACACTGGTCAGAAATCACCTTGAATATCAGAAACTCTCCTCGGAAATCGCCTCAAACAAAGCTCTCGCTTCTCACTGAATGCAAAGTGATTTCGCCTCCGGGGTTTTCTCTATTTATAGGGAAGTGGTTTGCAACGGTACTCCTCGAAAAACCAAACGGCGCATTAATGCGCCGCGCGCCATCATTACTCTCGCCACGTGTCGCTCATCCTATGGGGGACTGACGGCACGCGAGGCGCGGAAGTCGAAGCGCTCAGATGTCCCTTCACTCGTTCGCTCGACGCGACCTTCTGACTTCGCCAACGTCAGCCTCTGAACGAATAATGACGGAAGGGCCAAAGTTGAGCCCCTTTCCCCAACTGGACTACCGAACGGTAGGACAACATTTCCTTCCGAAGACGACTTCAAATCCCCTTCCGAGAACTCTCGCAAGAGGACTTGGGGGACTCCTGTTTATACCAAAATGAACAGCCAATGAATATCGGACACGTGGACTAAACCAGGGCCATGGGTGCCTTCGGCACCCACCTTCGGTACCAACCCTACCGATCGCAACACTAGGGCAACTTCACCCCCTTCGACACGTGGCAGTCCCACAACTGATGTCCACAGTCCCACATCGAAACTCTAAACAAATTGCACACCTCCCAAGGCCTATAAAAGAGGACAACCATCCCAGCTTGGAGGTAATCAATCAGAACTTACGGCATACTGCCTATTGATCTGTAGTTCAAACTTATTAAACCCGTACTTACTTAAGCATCGGAGAGCCTTCGGCCGGTACCACACCGGTGCCCTAGGACTTACCGTGTGTTTGCTATCTTGCAGATTGGACACACTGCCGAGGACATCAGATACCGAAGGAAACATAATCACTAAGTTGCGCGGGAAAGTGCCGAACCATTTTTCTGCGTCAACAAGGAGGAAATACATATAGTTTCTAGTTACATAAATAATTTTGAAGAAAATTGTTGGGGGCGGGATGCAATATGATAAGATTGATAGATTGCCAAAGTCCCACATTGGAATAACTCTCAACAATACAAATGCTTATAAAGATTACATGACACCTTACAATTGCTGAGCTTTTTCTTTTTTGCCCGAGCTTAGTAGCGTGAGCTTGTAACTAAACAGGGCATTAAAGATATTGGTTGTTTGAACAAATCTTTGTCAGGTGAGATGTGATACTCTTGGACCGTTCATTACGATGAAGTAGCACAAGGCACGCTCTCTACCCTCGGGTAAGTAGGGCCACCCAATCGAAACGGGTGGGTAGCAAACTCAAAACTCTAAAAATTTGATTGGGGTTTTGGGTACCAGAAATAAAAAGGAAAAAAAAACCTGGACCTTAACCGCACAGATCAAGAGCCATTGCACCTCAACGTGCTGCATGGCTTGGCCTCTCATCACACAATCACTTTTTGTCTTTCTCTCCCAACTTCCAAAACAACATATATATATATATATATATGGGGGCGGATCCATGGCATTATATTTTTTACACAAGTTTTGACACAAATTTTCAACCGTTAGATTGAAATGGATTGAATGGCTACGATTAACTGAACTAATATTTTTTAAGAAAAATATATATTGAAAATAATTATTAATCGACTTTCTCTTTCTTATTTCTCTATCCTCAATCAATGTTTTATCAAATCTTCCTATTTCATCGTTCTCTATCCTCTAGAATTCTTCAGTTAATGACTTTCTCATCCTCCTCTTTCTTCTAAAGCTTTACATGTTTCTGATTCTTTTTCTTCTCCATCCCTAACTTTGTTTTTTGCTTTTTTTTTACTGCTTATTTTTTGGGTTGTTATAGATATACATAGATTATGACTCTCGAAGAAAAGGCTTGGGGATAACACCCGACCCACACACACACAATGAACTGCAAGCAAACTGTCTTTTGTCATATATTTTTTAATGTTATTATTAATCATAATGAATAAAAGCTAAATCTTGTAAGCCATTCATATGTCAGAGAGAGAGAGAGAGAGAGAGTTAGACCAACCAAACCGTAGAGAAGAAATATTGCAACAAATTTGGGCTTTTTCTTTTTTGGTTAAATATTGGTGTAGATGACAATGGCAAGGGGAAGGAAATGGTGAGGTTTCGCAGGATTTTAATTGAGAAGAGAGAAAATGATAAGAAACAAAAGGGAGAAAGATAATTGAGTGATTTTCGGGATTATCATAACTAATAAATAAAAAAGAAATTTACATGGCATTAAAGATTTAATTTAATTTAAGTAATTAACGAAACATAATCTCAACCATTCAATCCATTTCAATCTAATGGTTGAAAATTTGTGTCAAAAATATGGTGCCACAGATCCGCCCCCTATATATATATATATATATATATATATATATTATATTAGGGTAAACTGATGAATACCCCCCGGAATTATATCGATTGTCAAAATCTCCACATTGAATTATTTTTTCAGCCAATCTAGCCCTCAAATTATTTTTAATGGTCAATTTAGCCCATGCCGTTAGTTTTCATGCAATTTCATCCAATTTTCTATCTAAATGTCACATGTTAGGCACGTGATTCACTGTTGAATTAAAATTTTAATTTTTTTAAGTTTAAAACTACAAAAAAAAACAAAAAAAAACAAAAAAAAAAAAAAAAAAAAAAAAAAAAGGAAGGGAATCTACGTCTTCCCCAGCCCTTTCCTCCCAAGACTCTCTATCTCCAATCCCACATCCACAAGGGTTTTCGAGTGAATACCAATGGTTGGTTCGTGTAAATAAACATATAATCAGAATCAAGATATGTTTTCATCTTCATCAACACCTACTTGTTCTTGATTGGGTCAATGGGATTTAGGGATTGCATCAAGTTATCAACTCCTCCCCAAAATACCGGGTCTGTTTGGCATATTTCTATGAGGTGTGAAGATTGCCCGTCCTCTTGGCTGTTATTAATCTTCTTCCTTTCCTCTTGTATTGTGTTTTACACAAGCTCCTCTTCTTCCTTCTTGTATGGTGTTTTACACACGCTCCTTCAATTTTAGCCTTTTCTTGGCTGTTATTAATGAGAATTTATAAAAAATAGCCAAAACTTGACCCCTAATTTTAAAAATGTCAGTTTTTGTAAAATATTTCAAATATAGCAAAAAACTCACCTAAATAGACACAAATGCCCTCAAATTTAAAACCCATATAAACCTATAAAGAAAACTCTATTAGATTAGGAATCTTTCTACGTACATTTGCAGACGTATTATTGCCCTAGTCAAACGATGAGTGTAGTTCTTCCTTGATTCTTCGTTTATTCTCCATACTATATTATATCACATATATGGCAGACATCCAAAAACCATTGAAAACCAACATTTTGTTGTTGTTGGTGAATTAAACAGAAAATTGTATACTGTGAATCTAAATTGTGAAGGATAAGAAACATAAGCCAGAATTTTTCCATTCACATCAACATAAAAGTTTCCTCTGTCTGCAGATACTACACTTTAAACTTCCTTGCCTAATTTCTATGGTTTTTTCTTCCCTTTTATAATTAATTTGCATTTTAGTATGTAATTTTCTAGGAGCAGCGTTCTGGAACTTATCATGGGATTCCTATTTTATTAATATGCTTTAGTTTTGTTTGGTGGTTAAAAATTATGCAAAATACTTGATAATATTGTTGGCAGTGGCAGGGTTGTTTCTTACTTGCTCCACCGTTCGTTTTTAATTTAGCATTGGAATTCCAAATTTATCCAAGTTTTTTATATGGTGTGGAAGGCTAGATTTTGTATGCTGCATATTTCAGATTGCAGATTATTAAGTATTAGCTATTTTACTGATGTTGTGCTGGTTTGACATTTTTAGTTTACTTGGGTTACTTTTGATGCGAGTTTGTTCTATGGCACCACCCTTTAAGAACAAATTTATTCATTTGTCAATAAATAGGATGATATAAATCAACTTATGTTCTTCTATACAAACGTGGGTTAAAAGTATTCCAAAGTTTTATTTAATAAAGTTTCTTTTCAGGATTATGTGGGTTTTAAATTTGAGGGCATTTGAGTTTATTTAGGTGAGCTTTTGGCTATATTTGAAATATTTTACAAAAATTGACATTTTTGAAATTAAGGGTCAAGTTTTGGCTATTTTTTATAAATTCTCGTTGTTAATCTTTCGCTGCTAATCTCCCTCCAAATGCTTTTGTTGCATGAACAGACAAATTTCGATACAGCAATGGAGCCTCTCGATATTTGTAAAGAGAGGACAATTGGAGCTAAGAAATTTGAAAGAGCTGGAGTAGATGGTACGGGAAGAAAGAAAAGAGAAAGAGAGGAAGAAGACAGAAAAGGGAGAAGAACAAAGAAAGAGAAAGAGAGAAGAAATCATGATTTTACATTTTCTTTATTACTTTTTGGTATTGTCCTTATAAAATGACAAACTTATCCTTATAATTAATAGAAAATTTGATGGAAGTCTAAAAACTTGACGACAGATGCTAAATTGACCATTTAAAATAGTCTGAGAGCTAAATTGGATGAAAAAATAATTCTGGGTGGAGATTTCGACAAGCGTAATAGTTCAAGGGGGTATTCGGCAGTTTACCCATTATATTATGTTCTTTCATTTGTTGCAACTTAATAAATAAATAAATAAATTGGTTCAATTTCTAATTTTATTTATTTATAATAATTGGATGAATTATACCTATGATGATCAGAAGGCTACAAAGAGGATTTAGATGTTCTAATCAATTTAGGGCATGTTTGGTAGGCTAGACTAGCCAGGACAGTGTTAAATAACACTTTGAAACCGATGTTTGGTGAAAGAGGGACTAACATAAATTGGATTGTATAGTCCATGAGTAAAAAAAACACCAGACTCGCTCGTTCAATACAGTGAGGATGAAATGCGGTTCGCAAAATAGCGAGCGTGCTATTTTGAATACACGAGTCTGACCAACACAGCCTTCACTCTCTCGTTCTCTTCCTCTCGAATGACTGGAAGACCTCCATGAGCTGCTCCTAGTTGATGAGGATCTCCTCGTTCATGTCAGGCAAGATGGCGGTGACTAGCTCGTCGAACTCAACGGTGCCATTTCTGTTGGCAAGGAGGACTTGGAGCTGGTAGCTAGTGGGCTTGACGCCAAGAGACCGGAGCAGGGCAGCGAGCTCAAGCTGGGTGAGGCTGCCATCGGAGTCCATGTCGAATCGCATGAAGATGTCTTTCAGCTACTTCCACTGATCGATTTGAGCGGCCATCATTCTAGTAATGGCCAAAGAAGAAGAAAGGGATCATGGAAATTGGGCGTTTTGTTTTTTTTTAATTTTGTGGTGTGGTAATTGGTTTGTGAAAAGTTGTGGTGTGGGGCTAATTGGATTTTTGTTTTTTTGTTTTTCTCTTTGGAAATTTAGAAAGAGAGAGAGAGAGAGAGAGGAGAGAGAGAGAGAGAGAGAGAGAGAGATGGGAAAGAAAGGCAGAGCAAGAGAGAGAGGAAGGAAGAGGAAAGAATGAGAGGATGGAATTCCTTTTTATAATTTTATAAATTTTATATTATTTTTTTCACACATCAGCCCTAATTAAATATTCCTAATTAAATTAAAATATTTTTTTAAGTCAAAATCCCCAATTAAATTTAAATATTACAAGAGTTATTTTTAGTCCGACACAACACCAAACATAGGTCTTCACTATTTTTAAAATCCAACTTCTTAGACTGACACAACACCAAATGTAGGTCAGTATTTAATCTAGCTTAGGCCTATTCGAGCTAATCCAAAACAGTCACAGGACTTAGTCTAGTCCATAACAGTCCGTCGTACCAAAGACCCCTTAATATCTAATTTCTTTGGGGGGAGTGCCCACCACAGTAGCTTGTTACTAGGGCTCTCAAGTGTCGCCTAGGCGTTGCACTACTGTATGGGCCTGACGCACCCCACCAAATCTAGTTTAAGCTTTTTACGTCCCACCCCACCAACTCAGATAATCCTTCTGCCTTTTATTGAGGTGTCAAGAGCTGGTTTTGTGATTGTTTCCACATAAGTGATTTTGGTGACTCAGTCTACCAACATGGAAGTGCTTTTGCGCATAAGTTCTTTAGATGTTATTATTTGTAGGTGTTTGTACCCAATTTTGGTAGACGGGCCAAAAATGGTCCCAAGTTTAAAAAAAGAACATATTTTTAGAATAAAGCCAAGCCCATTCGCATTTGTCTTTTCTAAAAGTCACCCTTTTCCCAACTAGGCCTCTTTGAATGAATCAATAAAAAGGCCCAAGTCAGGAAAAGTCAGATCTCTATCTCACACTACAGGTTAAAAGATTGGTAAGCGTGTTCTCTAAGCCCACGTGGGAGGCTGAAGGGGATTATCGCATTTAATGACGACTTGACCTCTTGCTCGCCCAGCAAGAAAATAAGTCGTACTGAAGCCCCCAAAACCAGAGAAGGTAAAAATTGCCAGTTGGGTTTTCAACTACAAAGAAGTCAAATCAAGAAAGCTCCACAAGGGAAACCGACGGTTCTTGCCAGAAATCCTCCATCATTCCCTCTACGAACTGGTTAGGATCAACAAACTAGCAGCTGACCTTGAACCACAAGCCAAAGGTCTTGTCGCAGTTTCCATCATTACAAGTTCTTCCACCTCTATAAATAATAAGGGTCTACTTCAGAAGAAGGGGACTCTCTCTCCAAAACCAGACGCAACGTCTCAAAAAACACTTGAAAAGATTCCAAGATAACAACCTGCCTACTTTTTCTTTAGACAACCAGTTGACGACTCCTGCGTTTTTCTCTAGTAGCTCTGCCATATCCATGGTATGATTTTCTTTTAAGACATATGTTGTTTCAATTCATGTAATTGTTTGACTGGATTGAGAAATCTCCAGCATCTTTTTCTTTACTCTGTGATTCAGACTCAAGGATAATTAATGGATTAACTAAAGAACCCTCTATTATTTAGTTTAAAGCTCAAAGTAAATATAAGTTGCAGAAGGATCTCTATAGATAACTTTCATTCAATTCCCGCCTTTTTACCTTTCGAAAAGTCCAGAAAGACCAATATTCGGGCCCGAGAGGGGATAGGGGCCCGAAAGAAATAGTAAAAGAAAAGGACAGGAAGTTGAGTTGGGCTTGAGATTGTACTATTGGGCCCGAATCCACTGTTAATCTAGTTTGAGAACAGGAAAAATATTGAAGCAGGTTAATAAAACCCAGGCAAGGGTTTCTACTAACCACAAACTTGGTCTTGCTCCATTGCTTGTTTAGGTACTGCTCATATTTGTCAGGGCGATACTCACAAAGGAAAGAATATTGAAGTCCTCTTAATTGAGGCATAAAAAAGAATCTATCTAGGCCAGTACCCCCCCTGGAGCACAATGGCTCAGAAAGGAGGCGCAAACTCCATCGGCATCAGTCGCTCACATCCACACCAGATCTATTGGGCTGGTTATATACTCAATAGTGGCACGCCTACGCAACAACGAGGATCAGTACTGAGAAGAAGTTGACAACCAAGGCCTGGATTAGGCCTGTTTGCTCCTGCCAAACTGATCCAACTTTCAATTTTGCTCAGAAATTGAAAGGATTCTCTCTGCGAGCCAAGAGACACCATCCGATCGGGGCATTGGTGTTGATCCAATAATTCCTCCTCGTTCCTCAGAGCAGAGCTGACTCCTGCGGTTGGTAAAAGGATGAAAGACGGGAAAAAGGACCAACAGTAGGGTTTGGCTACCTAAGATCGAAGGATGATGCACTTTCACAGTTGAAGAAAATTTTTAGAGTCCCATCTCAAAAAACGCTCAATGAATGCTTACTCTGAAGAAGTGATGACAAAATAAAAAAAACTCACCGTACGATCAGCAAGTTGAGTATTGCATTGGGTATCAGTCATTTCCTCTGTTCCTTCATCTAAAGTACTGCATTCAGTACTCTTGTCATCAGTTGTGAATGTGGTATTTTGTGCTTTACACTCATCAACAGTAGCACTTCTTGCAGAAGCCTGAGAGCCATTTCTTGATAGCCTCTCATTCTCACCTCCATAGTTCAATGAAGGAAGTTTCTGTTTGGACACCCCTCAGGCCTTCCTGTAAAACTTTTCTCAAAATCAATTGGAGGAGGTGTGCTCTCATTCTTCTCTACCCTAAAATAAAAGAATTGAACTTAAGACAGTGAAGAGTCTTGTACTTGTAGGGAAACTAAGACGACCACAAATTTAGTTAATGAGGGCCTAAAATCATGTTTAAGCTTTGTGCTAAAAAAACACATTCTTCTACTCCTAATGTTAATCTTCTTTCTTTGGGAAATATGCTGGTATAATCACAACTCAGAAACAGTGTGCTGAAATAATCAGCCTACAAATTGTATTCTAATATAATCACTTGGGGACGTGAAATGACCGAAGTGCCCTCCATATAAAAACATATCTATTGGGGAGTTATTGGGCATGGATTGGCGACCTAACACTTCCGTCTTCTCAGCTCGTCTCTTCCTCTCTGGCGGCGCTTTCTCTCTCCAGCGGCCACCACCACTCTCTGTCTCCCTCTGTCCCCAAACCTAAGCAGCACTCTCTCGTTCTCTCTCTGCCGTCAATGTTAGGGTTTGGGGAGGCGGTTATTGACGTTTAGGGTTTCACGAATAAATGTTATCTCCCTTAAACGATTTCTCAGTTCCCTCTCTTTTCATGTCTTGAATCGAAGTCTTTCTCTTCTCCTCTGCTCCTTGAGGGCCTCAAAAAACCCCAAAACCTGGTTTCGGTTCAGACTTAGTTCACTTACTTCCTCCTCCTGCTCAATCCTGTGAGGGACAAAAATCGCGATTTTCTGTAGGTGTTGCTCGGATTTCCAATTCGGTTCTGTGCACAAAACGAGTGATTCTAAGGTTGGTTATGTATTTGTTATTGACTAGTTTGTGCATTTGTATGGTTTTCATTTGAGAAGGATAATTTCAGTAACCTGTGACTGATGTTGTGAAGTTTAGTAATTACAGAGATTGCAATAATAATGTATTTTAACTGTGAATTATTTCATGCTTGGATGAAACTTGTATTGGTGTATTGATTTTGCTCTGTGGACGATGAAGTGCCTTAAGTTGGTATTTGTCATCTGGGATTGGTTCGTTTGTGATGCGTGTTTTCACTTCCATTTGATGATGCATAATTAGTGTGGGGAATTTATTCTGGTGGCAATGGCTATTCCATTATAACACAGGTTTACCTCACTAGGCCCTAAATTAGCTGTTGAGTAATAATGCATAAGTAAATTTGTTGGTATCATTGCTGTTTCAGCACCTAGTAGCATAGTTTTGCACCCTTCCAGTCTCAATGGGTTAATTATGTGAATTTGAAATACTAATGTAAGTTGGCGTGGGATGTTTCTTTTCCCTGTGCTATAAACCTGCTAAATGTTGTTGTTAGTCCTTGCTTGCAGCTTGTCATATATGTCTGAAAATGGTATTTTCTTGGGCTTTAGTATCTGTTTAGAAATTTCATGTTCATCCAGCTATGTTTAGCAGTTGCAGCTGCAGTAACATTTTGACGTGTCTAGTTTGTACACAGAGTCCATAACTGCCAATACTGATGTTCCATGAGTAGACATGTATATGACTATGGTAATGAGTAGATTTTAGTACGCATTGATGCATTTGGAGTAATTGTTGTAGCCATTTCGCCAAAACCCTGTATGAAGTGGATCCATGGTTCATGAACTTGTTTTCACACTTGGGTGGTATTTGGTTTTGGATGGAATCGAATATAGATTTTGTAGAAGGGAATGTAGATAACAGCAGAGTGTGGAGAGAGTTGGAGAGTAGAAAAGAGGGTTCAAAACAATTCTGGTTTTGTCATATGTATATACATATATGAAATGACTTGAAAGTATTAGTTTGAGTACTGTACGTATGACATATGGGTAACCAATGATCCATATGTATGATGTTGTTGTGCAGGGAAGTCTAGAATGGCTTGTAAAGCAAAGCTTATGATTCCTGAGGATGAGAAGTACGAAGGAAAGCCATTTGCCCTTTCACACGCAAGGACCGCCATTACAACAATAAAGGCGAAGTTCAATACGCAGCAGTTACAGAGGTTCGAGGGGAGTTGTTTTGGTCATCTATTACTGATAGAGGACCTGAAGTGGAATTCACAAGTTGTCCACGGGCTGTTGATGAGGAAAGCTGATCCTAAGACAGTTACACAGGTGAACGGGATAAAATTCATTGTGGGTAAACAAGTTGATACAATTCACAGCCCAACACTTTTGCCTCATCACGGGCCTAAGGTTCGGAAAGCTCCCTTTCATTCCGAAGGCGACAAATGAAAACTGCTCCTTGAAGCGAAAATACTTCAGTAGCAATAAACCTCCCACCCTTTTGGACCTACACACTGCCTTCATTGAGTGCACAGATGATGACGATGCGTTAAAGCTTGGAATGGTCTATTTTGCCATTTTTGTGCTATTGGGTACTGAAAAGCATGTGCTTTTTGACTTGCGCTATTTGAAGTTGGCCGAAGACTTAGAAGAGTTTGACAAGTATCCATGGGGTGCCGTGTCATATGCGATGACAAATGCTTCACTTTTGAGGGCAGTTTCTCCTGATTACCAACGAGTGAAGGTGCCCCAAAACAGAAAAAAGCCCAACAAACGTGGGAAGAAGAGAGCGGAGACAAGAATGGAATGCAGTAGAGCCAGAGAGTACATCATAAGGGGGTTTGGCTTCGCTCTTCAGGTGAACACATATCCAACAATGTTTTAGTTCATTTAAATACATGTACAGATTTTGATGTTTGATTGTTGTCAACAGATTTGGGCTTTTGAAGTCTTCCCAGCATTGGAAGGATTGCATTTCACGGTCCATGAAGACAATAGGCACATCCCTCGAATATTACATTGGAGGAGCAACACGGTGGCCCGTTTTCGGGAGGTTATGAGTCAGGTTTATGAAAACTTTGAGGTTAGTTCAGTTTGTATTACTCAGGTTATGATTAGGAACAAGTCAAAAGTTTACTGATTTATTAGATGTGTTTCAAATGGAGGTTGATGTGCAACTTCTCCGGCCGACTGATATTGAGAAGCAACAACCTTACTGGAGTTGGGGCGATGATGAGAACAATGAAGAAATTGTTCAATTGTTTGGGGATGAGGGCGAAGACAAAACCAGCACTTCTAGTGAAGAAAAAGAGGCGGATGTTGAGGAAACAACTACCCTTCCCTCCTCTTCTAAGGTGAGCACGACCTTTTTCCAATGTTGTGAACATGTAGAGAATACGATACGAAAGAAGTGGAAATAGTTTTCTTAGCTTTTGTAAGATTTCTAACTGTTGCATTATAACTTTATGCAGGGCAAAGGGTCTTTTAATGACTTTGGCAGGTTGAAGCATCAATTAGAAAGCACTAAGGATGAGTTAGCAAAGCTACGTAGTTCAAATCGGGGCCTTAGGAACAGAGTTCGTGAATTGGAAGCTATTGTAGACAAGAACTGTTTGAAGCATGAGAAGGAGTGTGACAGAAATAAAAAGGCTATTGGGGATTTGACCCTAACAATTGCTTCAGTGGAACATTATTTTAAATTGGAGATGGAGGAGTTAAAAAATTATATGGTGGACAAGGGCATGAGGAAGTGTGGACTGCTCAGATGAATGAAGGAGGGCAGAATGAAATGTCACCCTTGAATGAACTTACTACTCCGACTACAGCAGGGCCTAAAATGGACGCACAAGTTGCAGGTGATGGAGTGGAAGCCTTCCCAGGCATGCATACAGAAGGGCTGAAATGGAAGCAACAGTCTATGGTGGAGTGGAAGGGGCTGAAAGGGAAGCGGAAGTCCCTGCTGATGGAGTGGAAGCTTTTCTAGCCATGCATATACAAGGGGCTAAAAGGGAAGCCGAAGTCCCTGCTGATATTGTGGAAGGCTTCCCAGCATGGAAGTCGAAGCCGCTGAAATTGACACTTCAGTTTGTAACAAACAAGTGCACCAACAACCTCACAAGGTTCCTACTTCGGAAGATGTGAAGGTTCCTAGTCTTGAAGAACCCCTCATTCCTAGTCCGGAAGATAGGGAAGGGTACAGAGTTATTTGTAAAACAATGTTAAATTTGTTAGAGGATTGGAATAAGAAAGAAATTAAGGGGGTGGGACGGAAGGCGAGGCCTCCCATGGAAACTAGTATAAATCTGGTTGGTGATGAAGTGGACAAGGAGGCTAATGCCACGGTTCAAAAACCAGATGCGGAAGGCAAAGGATGCAGACTGAAGCGGCGCGAAAACATTGTTGAGTCCATTCACTGATCCCTCCAGGAAAAAAGAGGCCGACTACTGGTTTTCATGCACAGACACCTGAGGCCCGTTTTGATCCAACACAACCCGTGGCCATGGACGATGTGAAGGCTATGATACAAGTTTGCAAGGCTTGGAAAAGTGACATCAGGTTAGGAATTGTAACATTTAACTAAACCAATATACATGTTTTTTGATGTATGCAGTCATGTACAATAACAATATCTACGTAGCTAATTGTTCGTGTGTGTGTCATTGTCATATTATGCAAGGTGTCCATTAGTTTTTTTTCTGGTTGAATTTACCTTTGCAAGTTTATTTTTGTGTAGTGCGGAGCTGGAGCTCGAACCATTTGTAGTTGGGGCGGATTTTTTTTACAAACTTGTAGATGAAACTGCATGGATGAGCTCGAGGGTAATACTTTTGAACCGTGCTTTATTTCGAAAAATTTCTGAATTGATCACTTTGAGTATGTGGCCATTTTTTTTAAATATTGAGGTCGTTGTTGTGTTGTGAAATGTCAGCACCTTGACATGGCCATGTTTCTAATACGCAAAAGACAACTCTCTCATCCCCAAGTATTTGGAACGGAGTGGACAACTGCCGAGTTTTGTCTGCAGGTATTATTGTATTCATATTATGTCTCATTCAATTTGTTGCATTGGTAGGAGTAATGTTGTTGGCTGTGTTTGGTGCATTGGATCCTGTTCATGTAACGTGTCTTTCACACTTGTTTGCAGCAATTTTTACAGCCAATTACACCGCCAAGTGCGAAACGAGTTACGAGGAAACAAATTGCTTCAATGACTGTTGACCCTCCCCCTAACTACCTCAGAAATATACACCACTTTGTCTGGGGTTCATGGCAACATGGTTATGCACAAGCATGGACGAAAGTCCGCAAGGTCTATCTCCCGTATAATGTTCGACAGTCCCATTGGGTGGCTGTAGAAATTGACTTTGTCAGACATACTGCCACTGTGTACGACTCGTATACTGTTTTTACCTCCAACACAATGCTTGTCCGACAGATGGAGCCTATTACCCAGACGCTTGCAAAGGTGTTGTATGACATGAGGTTTTATGAGAAATCGGAGGTTGAAGCGGTGAAGAAAAAGGGGATTGACATGCCAACGTTTAACCCATTCACAATTTGCAGAATTTCCGATGTTCCTCAGCAAAGTGATGGGTAAGCTGGGTTCATTTAAAGCACTTTGTGCATGTTGTCAGTATGTGCACTTCTAACTTCTGTATGCTCGGGTGGACAGTACCTCATGTGGCATTATGACCGTCAAATTTATTGAGTATCTCAGTGCTGGCATTCCTTTTAATACCATTGACCCAGCCAAGTTTGGCTACTACCGATTGAGCTTGCAATCGAGGCTCTCAGGGGAGAGGCCTATGTATGAGGTAAAAGTCCATATCTGACCTCATATGAATTCACTGTTAAGGACTGCTTCAGAATGGCTAGTTATTTGCCTACTTTTAATTATGTCGTACGTACAGAGTTGTGCTTTCAGTCTTCATTTCAGACAACTTACAGTATGTTGGCATCTTTTCCAAGTTTTATGAATGCGAAATGGCGACTATTGTTAATCAAAGTTTAGGGTATTGGGGATTTCAACACCGTAGATGGTAATGTACATGTTTTGCAACTGGCATCTGATTTAAGTATGGCATATGTTCTGAACTCTGACTGTGTATCATCCAAACTTGTATCGTGTGTTTATGACATCTCAATAGAATTACTTCTTAAAATAGCTCCAATTATTAAGACGTTCAAGTTTCCCTTTCTATGATGCTAACTCTCGGCACATTTGGCCTTCCTATGCAGGTGGTCCTTTCAGGTTCATACCCATATTGACATCACAGATTCTGTACATGTATGTCACAGAAGTTGCAGGCTGTTTCGTCGTTTTGTCATTCCTGAAAATGAATGCGATGTTTTGCCTTACATGGCACCATTTTTGACTTTGTGTACAGATGGCAATGAAGGGTGCTGATTTTGTACTATGTTGCAGGGTGTTAATTTGTGAGAAAAATTAGGTATTAGACATAATTAACTTTACTAATTAGTATCTGAAACATTGTGTATTTTAGTTTGGGTTTTAATACCTAGGAAAGAATTGTTATTTTGGATTAGGCCAAAGAGAGGCTCATATTCTTTGGGCCTATCTAAATTATAGAGTTCAAATTCAATTTTGCCCTGTTTAAAAGAGCCTTTGCCAAAACCAGATCTATCTCCTGAGTCCAGGGGACTCCGTCTCTCTCTCTCTCTCTCTCTCTCTCTCTCTCTCTCTCTCTCTCTCTCTCTCTCTTGTGTCCACGAGTCGTGACGGCAAAGTGGCTGTGACTTCGTACAGCGAGTCGTTGGCAATGGAAAGATGCAGCACCTAATGGGAATCGAGGGAGTGATAGTAGATCTTGTGCAAGAGATCACGGAGGCGGTGGCGGATATGATTTAAGCCACAATAGTTGAAGACAGGGGGGACAAGAATCTGTTGGAAGGAGACGGGAAGATGCAAATGCAATTGAAATCAAAGCCAGAGTTCTCGCAGAGGGAGCTTTCTTTTCTTTTGAAGTTGATTCCAGAGTTGATACAGCTCTAATGTAAGGATTGCCACTTGCCCTTTGCTTGTTTCAAATAAATTTTCTCCTTTATATGGTGATATAATTTTGATCTGTTGCATGCTGGATTAGTATCCTATAGATTACTCTCCTATAACAATTTGAGATCATGGTTCGTCTTAAGCAAATTTTTATCATTTGTTGGTAATTCATTGATGAATTGCGAGAATGGTGATCCTGTAGCATAAGCTGATGCATTTCCCATTTCATCCCTTTTCATGAAAGTTGTGGAAGAAATATTGGCGTGGCTTTTGAAAGTTCTGTTCACTTAAGTTTGGTTATTGGCTCTAGATGCCTGGAATCAGTCAATTGATACTTGGTTCAGTTTTTTCTTGTGTGTGTGTGTATAGGATGCTTGGGTATTTCAAGGAGATCGACTCTCCTCCACCTGTGAGAGCCTCTTTCTCTTTCATTCTCTTTTAATGCATTTGCTTGTATTTGAAATTGGGGGTTTGAAAATTATTTTCATCCTAACAATTTGATAGGTTTTTTCTTTTTCTTTTTTGTTTGTTTGTTTGAAAAGATGGCCTGGTGTTGTTGGATCCATTTTGTTGTATAATTGCCTCTCTTTTTTCTTTTTGATACAAATGATTATGTTTGGTCAATTTGGTGAAAATCAAAATACTTGAGAAAAAGAAGCTGCTTTGAAGAATCAAATTCAATTTCATCTAGTTGATCTGGAAGGAACTTCTGTTACCTTGATATGTTTCCATTGCATGTTTCCAGTGTCTTTTCAATTAGCATGCTTAGTGTTACTAGTAATCCAGCTGGGCAGGCAAGTGACAGAACGTAGCTAGAATTCTTTTTTATTAAATCAATTTGATATATAGCTCTAATACAAGGATTGCCACTTTCCCTTTGCTTGTTTCAAATATATTTTCTCCTTTTGTTTAGGGCCTATACTCATCGCGCAAGTCTGGAGGTTGACATATCTTATTCTATGCTCATTGTTCGTTGTACATAATTTGGTCTTGTTTTATATAGCACAAACGTTGTTTTATATAGCACATAATTTGGTCAGGCAGTGATCTAATTTAGCTGCAACTTCTTATTATAAAGCTCACCTACTATGCATTTGTCTTGATTTGGAAATGATTGATGCCATCATTGTCATATATCTTGCAATACCATTTAAGCTTTAGTTCAGTGAAATTTTACACAGGTTTTGCATTGCAGTTTTGCACAAACTGCATTGCTTTCGCACAAACTGCATTGCAGTTTCGCACAAACTGCATTGCAGTTTCGCACAAACTGCATTGCAGTTTCAAAACTGCATTGTAGTTTCAAAATTATAATTGGATTTTTGCTCTGTCCTTGGCCTTCAACCTCATCAATTTAAAGAGTAGAGGCTACCCAGATGAGGAATAGGGTGGGCAAGAGAAGAGTAGAACTACCCAAGAGTAAGGGAACCCAAAATTGGACTTTTGGAAACTGGAAACTGCATTGCAGTTTTCATTTAATTACAATTTGATTTATTTTCTTTCCTTGGCCTTCAACCTCACCAATTTGAAGAGTAGAGGCTACCCAGATGAGGAATTGGGTGGCCAAGAGAAGAGTAGAAACTACCCCAAGAGCAAGGGAACTCAAAATTGGACTTTTGGAAACGGGAAACTGCATTGCAGTTTTGGAAACTACATTGCAGTTTTCATTTAATTACAATTATTTTTGTAGCTGTTTTCATGTTCGTTTTTGTTTTTGTTTTTTTAACATAATTGATATCTACATTGTATTTTTGTTGTAGTTTCTGTTTTTATTTGCAATTTTTGTTGTGTGAATAAGTGTTGATTTATTTTTTTTTTTTTTTTTTTTTTTTTTTTTTTTTTTATTGTTTATATTTTATTTATTTTTTTTATTTTTGTATATAAAATGAATAAATATTACAAAATTACAAGTTTGGTGTGTGGTTTGTGAGTGAGCCTTCTTCCTTTGAGGGTAAAGGTTCGAGTCCATTCAATGACACAAATCTTTTTTTTAAAGGTGAATAAAGGCCAACGGAGTTGGTCCCTTGCAGACGGTGGCAGGCCGGCGATGGGCGGTGGTGGTGGCAGGTGGCCGGCGGTGGTGACCGGAACCGGCATCGGAATTCCGACGGTGGTGACCGGAATCAGCATCGGGATTCCGGCGGTGGTGGCCAGCGGCGGGATTCCGGCTATGGTGGTTGGCTTGATATAGACATGTGGCATAGTATGCTTGCCTTAGAAGGAGTGGCATTGTGTGTAATTTTGATATTTTTTAATGATATTTTTGTAAAATTAGGTACTACATTTGGTCTTTGGCCTTATACAAATGAGATAAATTGTATTCCTATCTTCCAAATTAGTAAACTATATTGTGTTTTAAAACTAAAGCTCCCTAATTTGTGTAACGTAATTCGCCAGTACTTGTATTCCATAGTACAAGGGCTGTACAAACGTTTCCTTTCTGACAATGCGGTTATTGACCTTCTGTACTTGACATGTTTTGTACAGGCATATAACAAAATATCCTTCATTTGGCCGAACTTGCAGCCATATCAAATTTTTTTTGCCCCACCCACATTGTAGCCGTTTTGTTTTTGTGGTTCGGTGTAATACTTACTTTCGTATATTAATTATTTTCATCCAATCTGGACAGAAATGTTTGGGGTTGTTAGCCGAAACAATATCCCTAACCCTCCGCTGGGGCATTTACAAAGCATTATACGATTTGATCAGGACATTTGATCAATGATTTCATCAGGGAATTTGTCAGCAAATTGGATGACTCTGTCAATTTGATGAATTTGGGAGTGGCTTATGTTAAAACCAAGAAATCTAACAGTGGTTTCAAACAACTTCATTTTCTTGGCAGAGACAACTACACCATTTTGGCTAACTTTCTGAAGCAACTGATGCATATGTTTCCATTCATGTTCTATGGACTCAGAGAAGATAACAACAGCATCAATGTAGACTATAGAGAAATGACTATGCCAAAAAGCATTAGAAAGGCCATGTTTCAAATATCAAACTTCATTTGTTCTTCAAATGTTCGAATTTATTTTATTTTAAACGTAACTAATTCTTGAAGAGATTTCAACTATCGAGCTTTGTTTTGAATTATACTAACTTTTTACATTTTTAACATTAAACTTTGCTATTGTCTTCACTTGTCATAAAGCGTCAATGATTCGGTGGTTTGGACCTATTTTTGTTACGGTAAACTTTGTTTTTCCTATACAACTCATGATTATCTTTATTCTGTTCAAAGGTTGTTTTCTTCGTGAGTAATGACGACTTTTCCTAATGTCACTCCGGTAATTGGACTTATTTTTCCTAGACAGAGGTACTGACGTAAGACCATATTGTTGACAGAAGAGTCCTAACGCATATTTCGCACATTTGTGCTCAGATTGTATTTGTCGACCAATTTTCATAGGTACCCACATTTTCATACCAACTTCGTTAATTGTACTAATTGTATTTCCATAGGTTAAATTTTTCCAATCAATTTGACCTTGCTCATTGCTGAACTCAGTTCTTCTTTTATGCCCGAATAAGTTTGGAAGAGCGGTAATGAACTCGTACTTCTTTCCAAAACGGTTGATTACTAGCTTCACGAATCATGACTCTACAACTTAAAATATGTGTATACCATCTAAAATAAGACAGATTAGAACATCTCAGATTACTCAGTTGATCAAGTATTCTAGCATTAGTATGAGTATGGGTTCCAATAAAATGCTGACTTATAGTATAGAACAAACTATTAACACCATAATCATCAAACCTCTTCCATTACATCCATAACCTAACCACCTTTAACCTGCCAACTGTAGATGAACAAACCTCCTATTACATTTGGAACACAACAAATAAATGACCATTCCAAACATGAAAACAGAGACCCAAAACCAGGGGTTTTTCATCTTCCCTTTTCCAGCGTTTCTTTCTTCTTCCAAGCGGTTTATTTTCCTAAGTAAGCCTGGAATTATGTGCTTCGATCTGTCACACATCTCTGGGTCAGCCCATTCCCAAAATGTACATCCATTCCTCTGCATAAACGGAAACAATATTTCCGTTACAAAGAGGCGCAGCATCACAAATGGAATCCACGAAAATGCCAAATTTCGGGTCAAACTTACAGAGAAATAAACTTACCCTTGCACATACTTGAAACCTCCTTCCCGGATGAGAAACCGTCCAGGATGTATGCGTTTTGACAGCGTTCCCACAGTAGCACAGCCGTGAACATACCGAACTCGCGTCTTCCATTTCCCACCGAGACCTTGAAGGCCACTCTTGAGAGTGGCATGGAGACCTCACTGACTCAGCCGCACCGCTACGGAGGCTCCTCCTACTCATCTCCTTGTTTTCTCTGTATTTGTTGTTCAACTTGTGCGCTATTTGGAGAGGTCAAGATGCTCATCTTGTAGTGAATGGGTTTCACTTGCATGTGCGAAATTAGGATAATAAAACCGTGTGAGCGCACCAACATGAAACTTGGAGTTTATTGGGTGGTTTTATACAACATATCAAACTTTACCATAGTCAACACTGAGGCCAGGGGCGGCCTTGGGGTGGTGCAAGTGGCGCCACCCCACAGGGCCCCCGATACTTGAGGGCCCCGGAAAAATGTTTTTTTTATTTATATATTAATATTATAGGAAGTGTATATATACTATAGCGTGCTAAAAATTTGCACAGAAGTGTTCGTGGTGGAGTTGGCTTCCCAGCGAAACTCCACTTAACAGGGGCGCACGAGTTCGAATTTAATTAATGCCAATCTATTTGCGTCGTTTTTATATTATTTTTTATTATAACAAGTTAACAACAAATTTTATATAATTATAAAATTTCAACAAAAAAAAACGAAAACAAAAGCACACCTTTAAAATATATATATATATATATATATATTCTCCTCCAAGAAAAGTACTTTCTCTATTCAAAACAAAAAAAAATATTCATGGCTTCTTCTTTATCTCAAACTCTGATTTTCTAATAAGTAATCATCATCATTCATCAATGTCTCTTTCGTTCTTTTTTCAATCCTTTGACAATTTTTGTAATTCTTTCAATTTCAAGAATTTTAACCCCAACAAGAGAAAATCATAAGTCCTAAATTCATAAAGACCACTCAAAATCAAATAGTCAGATTCAAAGCTCATTTCAAATTCATGTATATATTTAAATTTCAATCTATATATTACATGACTTATTTTATTAAATTATTATCATGATGATGATTGGTTATATGAGAATATGGTTTTTAGAAATATGTATCTATTTCTTGCTGGGGTTTTCTTCCAGGTTACAAGGTTTTGGAATTTTTCTTTGTAATCTAAACATACCAATATTTAACTTTATCAAATGGAAACATTTAAATTTTTATGAATTTGATTTTTGATTGTCATTACATGTTTATTGATGGTGACTTTTAGTTATAAAAAAATTGTTTATGACATTAAGTTATGGCAAATTGTATTTATAGTATTTTCGTATTAAATTATGTGAGGCCACAATTTAAGTTTCGCACAGGGCCCTCACAAACTCAGGCACGGCCCTGACTGAGGGCCTAATCCAATTGGAATGTTATTCGGACCCTTATGTTGGAATTCACATACGGCATGGTATACACTTGGAAATACAGTACATGTTAATTCTTCGTTGCGTGTATATTGGTTTTTTACTGACGTATTGGTGTTATTGTGCAACTTATTGGTTTACTATTGCTTCTTTATTGAGCTTGTAATGCTCTTTATTGGTTTTCTAATGCATGATATTGCACGTATATTGGCATTGCAATGTAACCTGTGCATTATTTTCGGTTGGTACTGCTATTCAAAATTGTTTGTTTTATACTGTCCTCAGTATTGGTTTTGCAATGTCATTTGACAAGTGTACAAAGTTGAACTATGTGGAAGGTAATTACGTTATAATTTGGATCTGAAATGAATGCATCCACATTACATCAACTGCTGTTTTAAAACTTCCAGCATACTTAATATAAAGAAGGCAACAGGAACAATCAGAATACGAAGGCCTCCTCAAACTGGCAGATTACAAAATAAAATAACATCCCAGCGTGAACTTACATAAAACAACATATTAAACAAACAAAACAACACAAAAGATGACCACAAACTTAGTAAATACAATGTTAACAAAGATGGCACCTGACGATTACATTATACATATGACAAAAAAAGAGGCCCCCTCAAACTTACCAAATACAAAATAAATACATAAACAGGGCACCTCATCCGCACATAATTAAAACAGAGGCCAAGTCATACTTCCATTCCACTGTACAAAGTTTGTCCTAAACCGTTGACATGGTCATATTACAAGTCATACCTTCCGTCTGTGGATACATTTCGAGTTGCATACCCTTCACATGCGGCGACCGCGACCCATTAAATTCATGACCCCTCCCACAGTGATGTCCCACTTTCCTTCTGCATCCACAATTTTTGCAAACTTCCTAAATAGTTCGAAACCAGATTGCAGTTGTTTTTGCTTCAGCTCAGCCATTTCGTCAGATTCCTTGAATACAAGAACTGCAGTGGCAGGGGCATTTTCAATTTTAGCTCTGACAGCCTTTATATGTAGGAGATGCATCCGGGCTTCATAACGCGCCCGAATTGTGCAGTTTTTTATGATACCCCACCTAGCTTGGCCCTCTTTAATTTTTAACACTATGTCTGCATGGAGATTTTTCCAGAACATGGTATTGGCTCGACATTGCTGCAGTCCTTGGACCCAGTCTTCAGTGTCTTCTGTTGCTGATTTGGCAGGTGTGTCATTGTCCCCTCCTTCAGTAATGGCAAGGGTTGGGTTTGGTGTGGGGTTTCGGTCCATGGGTGTTGGGTATTTACTGCGGGTTGGTGTGGGCATTAGTTTGCCCAATCTGGAAGTAATTGTGATATGGTTGAATTTGTTGCGCAAGCAGGGGAGTTTTGACGGAGTAAATGTGATGGAAATGTTGGGTGGATGCAGCTGGGTTACAATTAAATAGTGGGAGGTAATAATGAGCAGCAGAAAATGACAGTCAGCAACTGGCGGGAGTTATTGGCGGGAGGTGTTGGCTCCAATTTTTGGCGGGAGTGGTTGGCTCCAATTGTTGGCCAACACGTTACACTTGGGGTTTGTGTAATTAGGTTATTGGTTGGTGTTTGTTGTATGGGACCGTTGTTGTATTTGCAAATTATT